CGCCCGCGCCCCCGCCACCGCCCTCCCCCTTCTCCTCGCGCCGCCGCTCCTCCATTTCCTCTTTGGCCCTGCTGAGCTGCCTGTTGGCGCGGTCGCGCTCGCGCTGCTTGCGCCGCTCCTCCCTCCTGGGCCGGCTGCTGAGGTTGACCTCCCGCAGCTCGTCCTCGTCGTCCATAATCTGCTCCAGCAGCTCCCGCAGCTGTCGCGCGGGCGCGTTTGAATTTGAATTTGGGAGAAGTGGGGCGCGTTGGCGCCGTCGTCAACCGGTGAGGGTGAAGGTTGAGGAGCGTGCAGGCTGCCATGGAGTAGGCCCTTGGGCATGTGGAGGTCGAAGCTGACCAAAACACACACCCTCACAAACACCCACGCACGCTCTCTACCCCCCCCCTCCCTCTCTCTCTCACACACACACACATACACACACGCAAACACACACACACACACACACACACGCAAACGCGCATGCGCGCTCAAGCGCCCCCGCATCAGGCCCAGCTCACGCCACCCCCCACCTGGTCAGCCTTGTTCTCCAGCTGCACCAGGTCCTGCTTGATGCGCCGCAGCTCCTCCAGGTTCAGGGGGTTGATGTCCCCCGGCAGCTTCGTCATCAGCGCGTGCACGCGCTGCGACATCGCCGTCATCTGGCGCTCCAGCCGGCCTTCCAGGGGGTTCGCGTTTGACAGGGTTCGGGCGGCATGCAGTGAGCCGACAAGGCGGGATCCGGAAAAGCGGAGAGCAGACCGGAGGTGCGGGGCGAGCAGCCCAGCAGCCATGCCTGGCCGCGAGGCAGCCAGGCTATCAAATACTGGGGCCTTTTGCGGCAGCCCCACCGTGCCTGCCCCCGCGCTGCTCTTGATCAGGGTAGCCTGGTCCCCGCCATGCATCCCTTTATTGCCCGCCAGCAGCCCATTGCCAGCCTGCCACTGCTGCTGCTGCTACTGCTGCTGCCCCTGCTGCCCTTGCTGCTCGTGCCGCTGCTGCTGCCGCTGCTGTAGGCTCTGCAAGTGCTTCTGGTGCTACCGCCACCTCCCCTCCTGCTATCTGCACCGTGGCGGTTGCTACTCATACTGCTGACCCCTGTCGCTCCTGGGCTGCCGAGGTCGCGGCCCATCTCCACTCCCAGCCCCCCCCTCAACTCCCTGGGCCCCCGCCCTCACCCGTTGTGACCATCAGGATCCCCTCCAAAACCTCCAGTTCGAACGGCGTCTTGTTCGCATTGTCCCCCTTGACCCCCAGCCTGTTCGCTTCCTGCAAGTACGTGTCCGCCTCGCTGCCGCCGCCCGCGCCGCCGGGCCCGCCGCCGCCGGCCGCGGCCGCCTTTTGCCGCGCCGCGAGCCGCGCGCCCGCGGCGGCCTGCAGCCGCGGGACCACAATGTCGAGCAGGCGGCGCGTGGTGACGCCGCTGGGCTCAAAGAATAGCGCCTTTTCCGCGGTGACGATAGCCCTGCGGCAGCGCGGGGTGCAACGACTTGCATTTGAAGTCCGTGGCCCTGCTCACGAGGGCTTTGACATGAGTGTGCAGGCAGCCTCTTGCCCCTGCGGAATTTGCGCATGGCCGCGCAGCCGCGGCGCCCGCCGCTGCCCACACGAAACCCTCGCCCCTCCCGCCGCCCAGGCGCGACTGCCAAGCGCCACTGCTGAGACGCATGCCCCGTTCCCCCCGGCCGCCACCCTCCCCTCCCGCCGCCGCTGTCGCCACTTCTTCCGCCGCCGAGGCTCGGGTTGTCGCGCTCGCCACAACCAGCAAGCCCCAACTCGAAAGCCGCGGCGCTCTGCCGCATGCGGCGTCCCGCTCACCTGACGCCCCCCAGGTTCACAAGCAGCACGTTCTCCTTGACGGCTATTGACGGCGACGTCTTGGAAACGTCGACGCTGGGGTCGACGCGCCGCAGGTCGCGCGGCTGCAGGCCGTGCTCGCGCAGCAGGTCGCGGCGCCGCACGTGCACGCGGCGGACCTGGCCGGATACGTCAACCCTCAGGACCTGCGGGGACGCGTATGCATGTGTGTGCATGCGTGCATGTGTGTGTGCGTGTGCGTGTTTGCGCGTGTGCGTTTGTGGGTGGACGAGTGACTTTGCGAGTGTGCGAGTCTGGGCGCGTGCGTTTGCGAAGCGGAGTGCATGCGTGCAACCGCGTGTGCATGTGTGCAGGAATGCGTGTGTGCTGGGCTGGGTGACGTGGCATGAGGAGCCGTTCGGAGTGCAGGGATGCGGCATGCAGCCCTCTTTGTGCTGGTGTGCCCGGGTCGCGACGCCGCTGCTGCCGCAAACTGGCCATAATCGCTTCAAACTGCTCTGTCTCCACCAGGCACGCGTGCCACCACGCACGCATGTTCCCAGTGTCCATCGGGGGGCGTCGGCGGGGCCGGCCACCCCTCCCCTCCCCCGAAAACCCCCGCCCGGCGCGGCGGCCCACCTCGAACGTTGCTGCGCTCGCGGCCTGCTTCCCATGCAGCACGCCGCCCCCCGCCCCGCCGTTGCCGTCCATGCGCGCATCCTCCATCATCGAATCGAACCCGCTGTAGTCCTCCAGGGAGCCCAGGCTCGGCTCGAAGGTCTCCACCGAGTGCAGGTGCGTCTGCAGCAGCTGCTTGGCAGTCGCCCCGAGCCGGCCGCCGGAGCCGGCGCCAGTGGCCCTCGCGCCATCGGCGCCATCCTCGAGAGAGGACACAGCCTGCGCGGGGCTGCCGCCGTACGCCACGCCGCCGTACGAGTCGTCGCTGCTGGTGTGCACGTCTTGCGTGGCGCCGCGCCGCTGGAGCTGCTGCTGCCGCTGCAGCTGCTGCTGCTGTTGCCGTTGCAGCTCATCTCGGCCGGAATGCTGCTGTCCGAGAGGCTTCCAGGGATTATTTGGCGTATGACCTTGGCCTAGCCTGTGTCGGTGGACAGCGCACCGCTGGGTTCGTCGAGCCTGAAGGGCCCAGCTGCACCACAAAGGCCCCGCGTCTTTGTAGACTATACCACTGTGTTTTGTGTGCGAAATCCCACGCGCCTGGGGCCAGCAGGGCCCCAGGCGCTGAGCGTGCATCAGGTTTCAGAGCTCCAAAGCGCGCGAACAGAGGACGGTCCGCTTTATGTATTTCCGACAGCAGAACATCGTGCAGTCTCGCGTGCCATCTGTGTGCCGCAGATCGCCAGATCCCCGGGTTGCAGCGCAGCTGCCGCCCTAGCGGCATGAGCCACCGTCAATGGCCGTTGGTGAAACGCGCCCTGATCCCCTGCAGGTGCTGCAAACGGAAAAAGAAGTACCGTGACTTTGGTTCATTTTTAGGCAATGCTGGCGTTCCCACCTGCTGTCGCTGTAGGGACCGTGTGCTAGTGCAGCGCGGAGCTCCTGTTCCAAGCAGGCTGTTTTCTTGGGGGCGCCCGTTCAAACGGCACATTATGTAAGGATGACACTGCGCGTTGAGAGGCCAAGTTATTGAATATAGAATCAAACATACTCAACTCAACTCGACGCTAACAGGTCCTCAAAAACAGCATGTCATGTTGACCTGAGGCATGCCAGCTGGCGTCAGCGTGGAAAATGCAAGCCACCGTGCTCAACACGCCCATTGTGCCGCAGTGCAGACGGCCTTGGGGCTCCGGCTGCGCTGCCTGGCGGAGAGAAGGCGTGCAAAGGTTACACACCCACTAGATTGCCACGCCAGCCTCAGTACTGGAAATGGTGGTTGCAAGCTTGCACCAGCAGAAGAGCACATCAAGACCGATGACAAAGCTCACCCATTTGAATCCACGAATAGAAAAGTGCTATTTGAAGCGTGCACACTGGCGGCAATGCAGCCAAACAAAGGCTGTCGCAGGTGCGATTTCGGTCGACCAGACCCCGCAGGCATGAATTTCACCAGAAGTTGAGCAGCTGGCGCTGCTGGTCGCGCTCGCGTCGTGCCGAAGGTGCCTCCCCAAGTTTTTTGAAATTTTGATTTTAGAAACGCAAGCGCATTATTGAAAGTCAAATCCCAGACGCAGCGTTGAAAAGCACAGGTGTGCGCGCGCGTTTGTGCGTTTACACGTTCGTGCGTTTACACGTTCGTGCGTTTACACGTTCGTGCGTTCCTCCCCGCCGAGCCGACAGCCGCGCCCGCATCGAAGCCGGCACCCTGATGACGACCCTGGCATGCGTCGTAGAATTCAAGTTGTGCAGACCCTCAAAGATACGCGAGCCCCAGCTACGCGAGCCCTCGCCAGCGCGCCCCCCACTCGCGCGCGAAACTCCGCTCAGGCAGCCGCCTTCCCGCCCCCCGGCGCCGCCGCCGACGATGACGTCACGCCGAGTCAGCTGCCGCCGCCGCCACCCCCGCGCTCCCGCTCCTCCCGCAGCTCCCTCATGGCTTGCTCCATCGCCGTGGGCGGGGCCTGCCAAGGGTAGGCCGATACAATCCAGACCGCCAACTGGACTGGGGTGAACGCGCCGCCGCCGATCGCCAGCTGGTACGTGCCGTGGTGCATGTTGTACGCCAGCTGCAGCCGCTCCAGCTCTTGCAGCAACGCCTCCTCGCGCGCCGGCTCCCCAGCCAGGGCGCCGCCGCCGCCGCCGCGCGCGGACGCCGCGGCGGCCTGCAGCTGGGCGAGCAGCTGCTCGCGGCGCTCGCTTATCTGGTCCATCCGGGACCGCCAGCTGGCCAGCAGCGCCCGGATGACCTCCTCCTGGGGTCGGGGCGGGTGTGACGTGACATGAGGTGATGTCATGTGACGTCACATGATGTGACGCGGTGCAACGTGATGTGACGCGATGTGATTTGGGGGCGGGCGAAGCTTGAGGGGCCGGCAGGGGTGGCGCTGCGCGCTGACCCTGTGTGCAGCGCAAGGAGCCGCAGGCTTTAGAGGGATCGAGGGTGCTTGCATCCGGTCCAGGGGGTGGGCGCTCACATCTCCTAGCTTTCGGTTCAGAGTCCTGGCCCTGCGGCGCAGCCCCCTGCAGCAGCAGGCCCGGCGCCTGCCAACAGGCCGGCGGGCCGCGTGAAGGCCCCGCTCGGCGCCCCCGCCCCCGCCTGGCGCAAACATGCAGGAGCCCCAACACATCCGGGGCCCGAGCCCGGCCCCGCCGCACCTGCTCCTCCGTCAGGCGCAGCTGCTTGAGGGCCCAGAGAAAGTGACCCGGCGGCGGCTCCTGCGCGGCCGCCGCCTCGTCAGCACTCGCGGGCCCCTCCTCCACCCCCGCCCCCAGCCCTGCCGCCGCGGTTGGCTGCTGCGGCGGCTGCGGCTCGCCGGCGGCCAGGTCGTTGGCCCCCGGCGCGGGCTGCGCGGGGAGAATATCAGCCTCGAGCCGCCCGTGATCCATCGGGCGGAGGGCGATGCGCATCGCGTTTTTGACGTTGGCCCTGCCGCCCTGCGGCGGGGTCGGGGCGCCGCGGGCCAGGGTTCAGGGTTCTGGTCCTCGGGTCTGCATTGTGGGTCTCCGGGATGGTTTAAGATCTCGATCCAGAAATACACACCCCGGGTGATCCTCGTCGCGTTGCGAATGTCTGGCCTGGGAGCCCCCTTGCACTGGCCAGGGGCGCGCGCGTGCAGGCGTCTGGAGCTTGATGGCACGTGTCTGTCTGGCGGGGCTCACGACGCGCCGCGCGCTGCGCCGCGCCCCGCCCGCGCGCGCGGACAGAAGGCCCTGCGCCGCGCCCGAGCGGAACGCTGCTGGGCGGCCGCGGACGGACGCGTTGCGCGCGTGCGCACTTGCGCATGCGTGTGCGCGCTCTCACCATGGGTCCCCCGACGATGAACGCGATGCTCCACTCGAGTCCGTACGCGCACATGTCGCGCAGCCGCGCCTCAGCCTGCGCGGCATCCGGGGCGCCGTGGCGCACGCGGCTGCGGCGCGGGATACAGGGGGCCGCACGGGTGCGCGTCAGCTGTGAGGCACGGCCGTGGGTGGGCGGGCGGCGCGCGCGGTGCGTCTGCTCCTGCAATTCCGTGGTCTGGTTTGGAGCGGCGAGGGGCGGGGGTCGCCAGTCGGAGCCCCGGCGCGGCGTCGCACCTGATCAGGGGGGCGGCGCAGCGGACGAACTCCGAATTGTAGCGCGCGATGCCTTCGACAGAGGCATCCACTGTCTCCACCATTGACGCCGCGCGCTGCGGCGAGTACCAAAGCGGCGGCGGCGGCGGCAGCAGGGAGGAGGCGGCGGCGCTGTCGGCGCTGCCGCTCAGGTTGCCGCCGCTGCCGCCGCCACCGCCGCCGCCGCCGGCTGCGCTGCTGCCGGCGGCCGCGGCGGCTGCGCTGCCACATGCGTCGCTGCCGGCCGCGGCGGCGGCGCCGCCGCCGCGGC